GTTGATCATTATTTTTTTGCTGACGTAAGTCACTCAACAAAATGTCCCAAAATTCAATTTCTTCTACACACTACTGATGCAGGTACTTGGAAATATTAAGTATTATACTTCCTATTTTGCTTGGAAACTTTCATGACTAAATTCGTATAGGTAGCGATGTGCCTGTGTTTACGTATGAAGGCAAAATCATAAAATTGCTGTGGTTTTTTTTAGTTAAAATACACAAGTGCGCGAACAAGTATAACAAACAGCGGGAGATACCAACTGAAGTGCAGTCCGAAATCGAAAGGTCTTGCGTGCGGAGATGTCCAAGTAACATCACTAACATGCGTTTTTCACACTGACTGTGCGAGGTGTCTTTTTTTTGATACAAAAACATGATATGACACTACAATGCCAGAATAATACGGATTAGTCATGAAATAACTAGCTGTGGCGTATCAGTAAACAGTACAGTAAAAATTTTTGGACTAAAGGACTTGGATTCAATTCTGCTGCGAGGTAATAAGGACGTATCATTTATCAGTAAATCAATACGGATTGAACAGTGTATTTCAAGAGTCAAACTAAGAAGGCCAGTAAATCGAGACGTAAAATTAACAGCGAATAACCAAAAAAAGCGTGTAATAATAAATATTTCTGACAACTTGCATGGGAAACAGGCTTAGAAAATTTCAGCTTCCTAGCTTGCGTAATGAATAAATGTAAATAATTCCACCGCTTATTCTCTTTTCTCGATAGAAAAAGGGCTCATGAAAATTTGTTTGTAGAACTGAATCCGCTCACTGCAGAAAATCATGTCCACAAACTTTTTAGATTGTTTCGCCCTGAAGTTAAAACTTTGTCAGCGATATCGTATATTTTAATGTGCCCATATTTCTGACGCAGAAGTTTGCAAAAGCTAACTTTTCCATGATCAAAGAACAATTTTGTGCAGTTTAAGCCTTACCATACCTAGATATTAAACTGAAAGAAAACAGACAGATATTCGAACACATGCTACACACCCACCAGGATGTGTAGTGTGTGCATCTGCCCAGTTTCCTAGTTTTTCTATAATATTTCTATTTCTTCCCAGAATTTCCGAAATTCTCGCCCTTTTCGTCTTAACCACTATGATTTCCACGAATGCACTTCTTTGAAGATTATTTGAATTAATTGGGATAAAGCAGTGCTTTGAATTTTGTCTTCACTGGAATGCAGACAGCATAAAATTCATACATAAAACAAGGCGCAGTATTTTGCATTGCTCTAGGTCAAAGAAAATCCATAGTTTACGAAAACAATTATAAGAGACCCAAACGGCAAAAAAGGCAACAGTAAAAAAAGTTGCAAAGAGATACGTATTTAAGAAACAGATTAAATGGTATTGGCACAGTACTGAAAACATGCAGAAAGCGTTACCTGGCGGAAAAATCTTCATGAACGCGCGCAAGGATTTGTGTGGATGAGAGAGGTCCAAAAGTGAAAAGTTCTGAGATTTTGTTTACTACAACAGTGGTGAGAAGGTGGCACCAACTACATTTGTGCTCTCGGAATATCTGTCAAATGAACAAGTCAGCTACAATTTAGACAAACGATCAAACATTTTCAATATAAAACCGTGCAGCTCCGTTTCTTTTTGAATGCACTCTTTGCCTAGACGCGTTATTTTCTCTCTGTAATACTCCATCACTTCCATTTTTGTTTCTAGCGCCTGCAAGAAATTTTTTTTTGTTTGTGAACTATCATTGCACGAGTAAATTTACTAACCTTTATCAAGCTAATTTATTTTCCTTTCTAGGAGATTATTCCCGAATTCCGGAAAGCCACTTACTCTTTTATTCGCCAAAGTTTCTTGATATAATACATAAATCTTATCATTTTTCCTCTGCAACTTCTCCAGTTCAAGTTTTTGAGTGTACAGTTGCCGGTTCAGTTCAAATCTCTCCGCTTTGTCGCGTTCTTCTAACTTAACTACTTCCGACTCCAACAACTGCAGTAAGGTTGCGTTAGTGAATAACTAAATTCTAAAACTTTTTTGCAAAAATTTTATACACATTGACGCCTTCGAAAATGGTTTTGGGCTTGAAATACTGCTTACTTTTCCTTGTTGTTGGGCCAGCTCGCATGCTGCTTTAAATTCATCTCTCTGTCTTTCCAATTTTTCCTGTATAGATTCCCGCTCAGCCAACTGTTTTTTGAGCTCGCTTACAAGCAGTTTGTTTAGAAATCTTTGTTCGTCCGAAGCGTCCACCTCCTTCTTCAACATCTGGGAAAAATTGTCTCTGAGTCAGATTTGTGAAGTGCTCAGATCAAATGGTGTGCAAGTCAGGATCAAGGGGCCTAACTTAACTGCGCCCAGCATGTTGAAGCATTCCCACGCCAATTGCGCATACGACAGCATCGAACATTTGATCACATAAGATTTGATCCCCTCGTTATCTCCTAGACTAGGCTGCATGCCAGCATTCCAGAAAAAGAGAATACCTTTATGATTTTCACGGCCTGGTTGAGTGCTTCTT